CGATGTTATAAAACGTGCCTTTGTGTATGATTCAACAAGTAGTAGAACAAGCCATATGAGTCGAAGTTTATCCATTCCTTTTACCTTCGGGATAAAAACGATATCTGTGTGCCCCTCGATGATTTAGCGATGACACATGTGAGTGCTTGGCCAAGCCAGGACTGATTTGATTTGTTCAATCAGTCAGTCATCATAAATCGAAAATCGGGAAACAACAAATGGATAGAGAGAATGATTATAATCCATGTCTCAGTCCATATGATATCTAGAATGGAGGAATATATGATCCCTTATCTAATGGACAAGTCATTGACAAGGTCAGAGTTCGACAGCGGCTTTAAGAGCTACGATTGCCAGTTAGGTTTTGAAGTCATACTCAATAATAGTTTTAGACTTATCCAAGTGGGAGACTGTTGGATTAATGTCTAAGTCCATAACTATATTTGGTATGTACTTGACCCGACCCGGCATGGTCCATTTGGGTTGCACTTCACCGGCATAATTTATATGGATAGTCTTTTGAGAATAGTATATTTATGATTTATATTAATATATTATAAGTTCTAATATATTAATATGGAATCATATTATTTAATTAGTATTGATCAAGAATTAATTTTGAATTAATTAAGTGATCAAAAAGAACTAATTAAATATGGACTCTTATATATATGGAATGGGCCAAGTTCATTTAGGTTGGGCTAAGCTTTCATGGATGGTCTATGGAGCTTTTAACCCATGAATCCTATGTAAATGAAAGGTCATGGGTATTAGGGTTTACATGGATGTAACCCTAATCCTCCATAATATATAAAGGGGTCCTTGGCTCACAAAATTGGCACAAGTGTGTGAAAATAAGAGTGGGCCGATTTTAGTGTGCATACATATTCTCTCAAGTTCTTCCAAGGTGTTTTGGTGATTTGTGATTCCATTTGAGGCTTCCAAACTATTGGGGCTAAGCTCTTAAAGCTTGAAGACATCAAGCTACATCAAAAGGTATGTCATCTAACTAGAACTTTGTAGTATAGGTGCTTCATAATATGCTAGTTAGGATGAAACCTTGGAATATTTAATATTTGCATGTATAATAGAGAAAACATAGATCCAAGGTTTATAGGGTTGCATGTACACCATAGGAGTGTTAGAATGCTCAAAACCCCAACAGTTTACGGCCTAGGGTGTTTACGGCCAATGAGTTTACGGCCACATGTGTTCACGGCCATTGGAGTTTACGACCATGAGAGTTTACGGCCAACACAAGAAGAAGCTAGGGTTTACGGCCCTAGATGTTCACGGCCATTGGTGTTCTTGAGAAGGGTTTACGGCCAAAGGAGATGCTATGGCCGTAAACTCTTGATTAACAAGCTAAAGTGGTTGATTTCAAGGGTGTGATTCAAGAGCTTCTAATGGGAAACTAGTATATGGAAAGGATACTTACGTTTTGAAGCTTGAAGGGGTGTTCACGGTCCAAAGAGCTAGTGATGTTCTTGGTGTTCTTGGTGTTCTTGAAGATCTAACCCAAAAGAGGTGATTTCACGGATGAAATCAAGGGATTTTACTAGATTATGAAAGGTATTAACTAATAAATGGAAGAATCACTTACAAATTTGTCGGGAAATCGAAGTGATTTTGATGATACTTGAGAGAGAGCTGAGAGTTCTTGAGTTGAAAGTGTAAGAAATGAAGAATAATGAAGGAATATCCTTCATAAGGGAGGAGTTCACCGGCCTGCCAAGAGATTACGGCCGTAAACTCCAAATGTTGGAGTTTTCCGGCTTGAATGCTGCACACTGAACTCTATAAGATACTTCCTAACACCCAATCCTTGAATGTACTTGGCTTGGGACACTCAAACAAACCCTAAACAATGCTAAAAGATAGCAGAAACAAGTCTGGCTTTGATTGAATTGAATGACTGTACAAGATAGAAATTCCGGGTTGTCACATCATCCCCCCCCCCCCCCCCCCCGTTAGAGAGAATTTCGTCCCGAAATTAGAGTTTAAGCAATTACAGATAACTAAGCGAAAAAATGAGGATATTTCAGTTTCATTTGATCCTCGCACTCCCAAGTGAATTCAGGTTCTCGCTTGGCATTCCAACGAACCTTCACTATCGGGATACACTTTTGCTTCGTTTGCTTGACCTCCCGGTCCATGATCTCTACTGGTTCTTCCACGAAGTTGAGGCTCTCATTGATCTCGATCTTGTCGAGTGAGATTACAAGAGTCTCGTCGGACAGACACTTTTTCAAGTTCGAGACGTGGAAAGTAGGGTGTACGTTACTTAGTTCGCGAGGTAGTTTGAGTTTGTAAGCTACAGGGCCGATTCTAGCGATAATATCGAGACGTGGAAAGTAGGGTGTGCATTACTTTTTCATGTTTTCTTTCTCTTACGTTAGTCTTCATCTTAAACAAATACACCCATGAGAATGGGTATCGCCATGGGAACTATATACTCAAAATGTGTTGTTGTATACAAACACAATCGAACGACATAATGAATCACCAACAAGTGGAAGGAGAGTAGGAGACCAATAAAAACATTGTGATGATCAAATAAATACTTGAAGATATAATCTATATAACGCTAATATATATATATATATATATATATATATATATATATATATATATATATGAAACTTCGAAAACATACAAAATTAATTCACGTGTATGGTTAGCGATTAGTAGTTGCTGACAGTTGAAACTAACTTAAATTAGTCATGTGAAGAATAAATCGTTCTTGCGAATGTGGCAAGGGTTTTATGCATAAAAAAAGGAACCTACCTATTTTATTGCAAGTTCACGAATACTATTTATTGTGGTTTGTGGTTATATTGTTACATTATGACAAAATATGGTTCTGTGAGCTACACTTCCATTTTATGTCATTTTAACGGATAACTCAAGAAAGGCCATTCTTCATACTTTCTAATCACTTACGATAACAATACCATAGTTCAAACTTCTAGCCCTTATTGCATAAAAGGCCATTCTTCATACTTTCTAATTATTTCATTATATACTAATAAATAACAAATTAGTCCTTCTATTTATTTATTAGTCCTATTTATTTATCTTTGCTTTTCAGTTTCAACCAGGTATGTAACCTAATAGTACCATGCATTTAATAATTATGTCACAAACTTGTTTTGTCGGTGGAAATTGATGGGTTTTGAGCACTACATCAATCCTATGGTGTACATGCAAACCCTAAAGCTTTGGATCTAGTTTGTCTAATGAACATGCAATAATCATCCAAAGCTCATAAACCCTAATTCTAACATACAATAATCGAAATTGACAAAAGAATAGAGTTTAGATCTTACCTTGATTGTTATGTTGCAATAACAATCTGAATCCTTCTTGTAGTTGACTTCTGAAAACTTAGTGCCTCAAATGTTGCACCTCTAATGAAGTCACAAACACCATGAGCAACAAGATGACCTAAGAGAAGGAGGAGGAGCACCAAAAACGTCCAAGAACCCTTAGGGATTACTTCACCACGTTTTTGGGGCCTTAGGGGTTCCTTATATAGTTAGGCTATTAGGGTTTTCAACTAGGAAACCCTAATCTGTCTGCTTAGGCCCTAAGCAGCCCATGGACTCCCTCCTTAGAAGCCTTGGACGAATTCTAATGGGTTTCCCCATAGATTTCATCCACTCCAACTTATATGGAGTCCATTAGCCCATTTATGCAACTATCTTATAATTACACAATCAGTCCCCTTTATTTAATTAATCTCTTTTAGCCACATAATTAATTCTTATTAATTATTGACTAATATTAATTAAACAATATGATTTCTCTTTTAATATATTATTCATATAATATATTAATAAATCATAATTAATCCTCTTTCTCCTTAATTCATCCTATCAGTTGCTATGGTGAAGGCAACCCAAAAGGACCATGCTCACAATCGGGTCAAGTACATACCAAAATAGTTATGGGCTTAGACACCTAATCCAACAGAAATATCTCCAACAAACATAACTATAAAACAATTAGTTACAAATAGGTCTTTAAAAAGAAGACCAATATGGATGGAAGCCACATAAAAGTCAGCTGGTGGCAAATGATCTCACTCAAAATCTTGGTATTGACCGAAAAATAGATATAAAACTACTTTCTTCAAATGAAGGTTTTATCGAGGATGTGTTCATGACACCGCCTGAGGGTTTTGTACATCATAAGAAAAATGTGTAACAACAACATTTATAAATTTACACAACAAATATACATATTTCGAATTTTGTCATAGTATTATACCTTACAAAATACAATTCTCTCCAAAATAATATTCGTCAGTAATTTCATCCATAATTTCACCCAATCTAAATTTGTATTTTCTTTATATAAACTTTTTTGATGATCCTAAATTTTTCCCTTCAAAAATATTTCAAGCATTTGTGTCTTAGATAATGTTGCCCAATTATAATTATTATTTTCATCATATAAAATAATAAAACTTACCAATATATATATATATATATATATATATATATATATATATATATATATATATTCATATTTAACTTTTATAAGCAACATTAACACTAAAACAAATTGATGGATTCAAGTGACGATTCATCTTCTTCAAGAAAAAAAAAGTTAAAAGTCTTGTACATAATGTTTACCCATCAATCTTTTGTCAAATTGCAATAATGTAATTATCTATGATTTTGAAGGTACTCATATGTGACGATGAATGTCGTTTAACTAATAAAACAAAAAATATTTTTTATAAAGAGGTATTTCAACGATTATAGATATTTATCGATTCAATGTATCTTTTACAAATTTCAATAATATCAAATTTACAAATTTCAATAATATCAATAACCATAATTTTTTTTAATAATTATTATACAAGACATAATTTCAATGTACCTTTTACAAATTTGTATGTTTTTTACGTTTAACTTTAACGTGTGTTAATCTAGTTAATTTTTTATTTTAAAATAATTCACTTAGATGCGACCGTCAAAAAGTCAAAAGGCACGTCGAAACACCTCCCTAAACGCTCGGTAACCCACCTCCACTCCCTGTATCACCCTCTCCCTACAATGGCTCCTCCTCCCCGATCTTCGAATTTCATGTCGATTTACGGTTAATAATTATTTAATTTTCCTTGATTTGCGCATATAATACATTCATCGTCGTTTATTTGTTTTTAGTGGTCAATCAAGTCATAGTTGAAGTTTTGAGTGATTTAGGTTATGATGTGCTTCTCGGATCAATTGCTGCATTTTACGTACTTATGGTGCCATTTACGAAAGTTGAAGAAAGCTTCAATGTTCAGGTAGGTATTAGATTTCTTCTTGTTCTTTTGATTTTGCTCAAAGGCAATAATTTTGACAATTTGAACTTTTAACTGATCAAATCTGTTACAAATCCAAAAGAAAAAAAATAATAAAATAAATACCTCCTCAGTCTAAAGCCTTTGATTTTGGATGACAATTCTGTTATTTGGATTGGATTCAAACATTGACTATCTTCCTCTTGTTATTCACTTCCCCTGAACTCATAAGCTTCCTTTGTTGTGATGATTTTTCTCCTACCATGTTCATAAGCGTGGAATTCTTTCCACCCCATTCTGCATCCAAAGGTGTGATTTGTAATTGAACTGATAATGTTTATGGCATTTTGTTTACTCAGGCCATGCACGATATCTTGTATCACTGGCATCACATAGAAAATGTAAGTACTAGCCTTTTTTCTATTTTATTCTATCAGAGAAGAATAGACTATGTATAAGTCTTAGAGTCATACGTGACTTTCTTTTCTGGATTTAAAGATTCATCATTTCTCTCTAATGGTTCTATCTGATGCCACTTACACAACAGTATGATCATCTGGAGTTTCCTGGGGTTGTTCCTCGCACGTTTATTGGTAAGCTCTTTTATCTTATAATTCATAAAATCATGATATGAAACATCATCTACAACTTAAAACTCCTTTTGTCCCATGTAAATGCTCACAGGTGCATTACTAGTATCCATTTTAGCATCTCCAGTCGTTCTAGCTATCAATTTGCTGCATTTGCCAAAGATTTATAGTCTTTTAGCAGGTTAATTTATATATATCATCTGTCAAACTTATATACACAAAACCTTAGTTCTCTTACTCATTTGTATTGTTTTATAGTACGTTTGGCTCTAGGATTCTTCATATTAGCCACACTTCGATTTTTACGTGTTCAGGTATTAAAGTTTTACTTTTTTATGTTTGAGTTGTTTGACATTAGTTAATGTAAATTTTATTAATTTCTCTGAGCAGATCAGAAATAAATTTGGGCTTCAAGTTGAAGCTTTCTTTGTGATACTAGTAGCAATTCAGTTCCATATGCTGTTCTATTGCACACGTCCTCTTCCTAATATACTGGCTTTAGGCTTAGGTGATTAAACTTGACCCTTCATTGATTTACAAAAAGACCATTCTTTCCTTTTCTTTTTCAAATGTGCTGATGATTCTATTTCTTGATTCTGTAGTAAATTTATCATATGGATACTGGTTCAAAGGGAGCTTTTATGCCACATTAAGATGTCTGGTATGCTTTTATTTTTCAGAAATGTAAATAACTTGTAAATAAAAAAAGTCATTATTTCTAATGAAAAAGTTCAGATTTTTGCTACCATTGTCTTTAGATGTGATATGCTGCTACTTCTTTGTCCTCTTGGCCTTGAACTTTTACTGGTATATCTTCTTGCTGTTTCATTCTTATCAAATAATCATTTTTCCCTCCTTTATATCATTATTAAAATTCTTATTTCAAGTAATTACAACGAAATGCCTCTGTAAAATTACAGACAAAATCAATATCCTTGTGGAAAGCCATAAAATGCTGTGCTGGAGCTGCAATTTTCAGCATAGGTCTGTATTACTGTTCTATCTAATTTCACCTATAAGGCCAAAAATGACAATTATATTGATAAAAATCTCATATTTTATCAGGTCTTACTATCTTTATTGATTCAATAATGTGGCAGAGGTGGTTGTGGCCTGAATTTGAAGTCTTTTGGTTTAACTCTGTCTTAAACAGGAGTTCAGAATGGGGTGTATCCTAAACTAGGGTTTTCTTTTCTTATTTAAATATTTTCATTTATCTTTTTATATATATTAAATTATTAATTATACTTCTTCCATAACATATGTCCCCTAGACACATCCATTTTATTGGTACTTCACTTCTGCTTTACCTCGCTCACTACTGGTTGCATATCCTCTCTTTTTGGTAATCAATTAGGAAAAAAAAAAAAACTAATTTTATAATATGTTTAAATTATACTCCATTTATCTGATATCAAAAGATGATTTGACTTTAAAGTTTTGTGATTGTTGCAGTTTGGTGTTATACTTGATAGAAGACTTTCATTCTACATTCTTCCTGTTCTTTCATTCATCATACTTTACTCCAAGCTTCCACACAAGGTATCTTACATATACCATAAATTTCTTAGATTAACTTGATGTGTAAGGGCATAAATGTCCAAAATTTACAATTTTTTTCAGGAGCTTCGGTTCATTATCAGTTCTGTTCCAATCTTCAATTTGTCAGCAGCAGTTGCAGCTAGTCGAATGTATGTGGCTTCTTTCTAGTTTCTTTTTTTATTTTTATTTTTTCTTACTTTTTATCACATCATATTCTTGAAATCATAACATTGTTGTTGTTTTTTTTTTTACCACAGTTACAACAATAGAAAGAAGAGTTTTTGGAATCTGCTTTACATAGTTCTGCTTGGTTTGCTTGTGATCAGGTTGAAAGATAAATTATTTTTCTTTTGTTATTTAAAATAAAAAATTGTTTCACATCTCATTATTGATATGATAATTTCTGTAGTTTAGGGTGCAGTGTCATCACTTTCATGGCCTCTTATGAGAACTACCCTAGTGGCTATGCTCTAAGATCTTTGCACAAAGTAGGTATAGGTAATCTCTCTCCTCTTTTTTTTTTCTCTCATAAATGATCATTATTTAATTATAATATTAATAATAATTCTCTATAATAATCATTACTTGAAATCTTCTGATAGGTCATACGAAAAACACTACCAATGAGTTGAGGGTTCATGTTGATACCTTTGCAGCAATGAATGGAATTTCTCGGTTTTGTGAGAATGATAACCAATGGGTGTATGTTTATTTTTTACTGAAAAATAAATTTATTTATTATCTTTAAAAAGATAAACATCATAAATTCTTGTTTATTAACTCTATTATTATGTTACTGATTCAGGTATTCTAAAGAAGAAGGAATACCTTTGGAAGAGTTTTATCAGCGGAACTTTACCTATCTTTTGAAGTGAGTTACTGATATTATTAATTTTCAACTTATAAAAATTTCAAATTTACTATTATATAAATGGAATGTAACTAATCTTTTTTCATAGTGAACATTCGAGCATCAAGGGATTTGAGTGCTTGTTTAAGGTAGATGGGTTTTCTAGGATGCGTCTTCATGTTGGCTTCCCGCCAATATCAATGGTATTTATACTTGATACATAATTTTTTTTTTGATGTATTTTTACAGAATGCATTTATGAGACATGTTTGTGTTAATGTTCTTATTTTTCACAGGTTAAAGAGCCAAAAGTCTACATACATGGAAATATAGAAAACACAGATATCATGGATAGAAGTTGGCCAGGTTGTTCATGATTTCCTCTACCTTAGAAATGTGATTTTTTTTTTTTTTTTTTTTTTTTTTTTTTTGGATTGTGAGTTTTATTGGATCAATGGATAGTGATTCGTAATTTTTGTATGTTACGTGTATTTAATCCATAGTGTTTGGTGCTAGATCATGAACATAAGTTGTAATATTTTAAGGTGTTTTCTTTACATGACATGTATTTAAGTTTTCGTATACTTTTAAGTTTATAAGAAATCACTTGGTATACTGTGATTCCTTTTTTGAAACAAATTTATCAACCCTAATGTTCAGTGTTCTGTTTCTTTTCTACATTTTGGCTTTTCTATTTCCGGATTGCTAATCTATAAAAATAAACACCAAAGGTTTTCAATTTATGAATAGCATTTAATATTTTTAAGCGTAACATGTATTTAATACACATTGTTTCATACTAACTCTTAAACATAGTTTATAATTTGTTTATATGAAATGTATTCAAGTTTTGGTGTAGTTTTGAATTTATATAAAAAGTAGTTGGTTGTGAAAGTGCTAGAACTGTTTTATGTTAAACTCTAGTCTCTATGCACTACAAAAGTGCGACATTTCAGTATTTTACGGTTGTTTGAATAGTCCTACAAATTCTAAAACATGGAAGATTTTACACTTCAAATTGAAATTGGAACGATCAAAAAACTGCAAGAAGATAAATAAAAAGATGATTTTAACAAATTTAATTACATATGTTATAAAATCTCTTACAATAACTTCTAATGCACTAGATTTGTTCAGTTTTTTTTTTGTGTTAGAAGTATTAACATCTCCCCAGGGCATCAAACCAACACCAAGGGCATGTTCTGTCATTCTAACCGATAGCCAGAAATTGTTGGTAACCAAATGACAGAAAGCTTTTAAAAAATGTAAAATTACATAAAAACTAAAAGTTAATAACTCTCAAACGATACTTGAAGTAGTCTTTTTTTTTATTTAAAATAAAAGTTTTATGTTTGTACTCTTGAAACGAAGTTTTTTTCTTTAATTTGACTATTTTTTCTTCTTAAAATCTAAAACCAAAAAAAAATTAAAACCTTGTTGACAAACACACCATGAGTCCCATGTTTATCATCAATTTTGGTGCTAAGTTATTCCAAGCTAATATCATCTTTTACATCAAATTGATGTTGTGGTGTTTTCCTATTTATTAATATTAAATTTGATGTTAGAGTTTTATTTATATAATTTACTAATTTCTACCTTGTTAGTTTGTTATTTGTATAAGACTACACGCAATATTTACATGATATCAATATTAAAATTTAAAATTTTATGTTATTTAAAGAGAAAATTATAAATTTAGCATTTTTTGCTAATTACTTTGTAGATAATAACAAAAAAAAAACTAAAGTTACAAAAATAGCCTCTAAAATCGCAGATGAATTAAGTTCATCTGCGATTTGACCTTCCTATCTACGAAGGTACAAGCTGCTAAAGCATGGTTGTGCATCAAGGACTTGTACGTTCGCATATAGATTAGTCTATCCGCTACCACCCCCGTGATTTTGCCTTTTTCAGGGTATAAATACCTAAAAATTTTTTGGAACACTCATTTTTCTTGATTTTTGTTGGAGAAAACTCTCTCGGGGAGCTATAGACGATTCTATGTACTCTCCCGAAACATGAGGACCGTGTGTTGGTCCTATGTAGTTGCATTTGATATGTATCTAACTAAATGTTTGATTTATAAATTCAAGCGTTTGAGTAGAAAAATTAATTTTAAATATAGGGTGATACAATTTATCTTCATACATAATAATAATAATAATAACTTCAAAAGTTAAAATCGTTCATAGCTCCCTTATAGAGAGATTTCCCCAACAAAAATCAAGAAAAATGAGTGTTCCAAAAAAATTTAGGTATTTATACATTGAAAAAGACAAAATCGTAGGTGGTAGCAGATGGACTAATCAATCTATGAACGTACAAGTCCCTGATGCACAACCATGTTTTAGCAGCTTGTACCTTCGCAGATAGGAAGATCAAATCGCAGATGAGCTTAATTCACCTGCGATTTTAGTGTCTATTTTTGTAACTTTGGGTTTTTTTGGCTATTATCTGCAAAATAATTAGCAAAAAAAGGCTAAATTTGTAATTTTCTCTTATTTAAACATTTAATAATTTTTAATAATTTAAAATATAATACATATTCAAAAAAAACCAATAATTGTCATTTATCATAATACTAGTAATTTATTATAGAGTTATTGTAATAAAAATATGTAAATCAAATTTGTAAAAAGCTAACAAATATAATATGCTTTTTTAAATGTATGTGACATTATCACGTCCGACAAGTGTTTCTGCCTTATCTCTACCCCGATAGCTATAGTCAAACAAAAATGAATTATCTGTTTTGTTTAGTTACTGAACCAAAGAGAAAGTAAGAACCATCGCTATATTTAAAAAAAACGACATAAATTCTTGGTATTGAAAATGATATAAAAGATTACAGATAAATAACTGTTTGTATCAAATATTATATTTTGTTATAAAAATATGGTATTATGTTCGATCATTTTCAAAAAAGAAAAAAAACATAGGGACTATCATTAGTACTTATAAACTTAAAGTGGGTAATAAAAAACTTTACATAAACTTAAAGGACTAAATTTAACGAACTATTCATAGTGACAAGCACACTCACACACAATTGCACAAACCCATTCTTATCTTGGTTGCTACTGTGTTCTTCAATATTTTGAAAGCACCTCCTAAAACCCTAATTGATCCAATAAAATCTCGAAAAAATGTTGCTCCATCCAACAGTTTCCCAATCTCCACCACACCCACAATCTATTTCTCTCTCATCATCTTCATCTTCATCTTCCCTCTCTCATTCTCTCAGTTTCCCATATGGGTTTCGAAGTTCACCCCACAAAAAACCCCAATTTACTTCGTTTATCGTCAAAAACCGTTATTCTTCGTCGTCATCACCAGTTTCAAAAGTGTACAACTATGGCACAGTGGACCATGAGAAAAAGTCTGGAACGGCGGTCACCTGGAAAGTCATTTACAAGAGGATCTCACTAATGGGCGACCCTGAAAAGGGGGCCACTGAGGTGTTGAATCAGTGGGAGAACGAAGGGAAAAAAGTTACGAAGTGGGAGCTTTGTAGAATTGTGAAAGAAATGAGAAAGTATGGTCGTCACAAGCTTGCTCTTGAGGTATTTCTGGATTAAAATAGATTCACTGTGTGTTAAATTTGTGTTTCTTTGTTACTTTCATCATTTGCTTTCTTAAATTTGCTTGTAGTTAGTGATATATTGTTTCTGGTTTTAGTTGTCGATAATTGAGCATCATCTAGGGTTTTTATGATATTTTCTATACTGCAGATTTACAATTGGATGAATAATAGGCCCGAGAGATTTAGAATATCCTCAAGTGATGCTGCAATTCAACTGGATCTAGTTTCAAAAGTCCACGGCATTTCAGGCGCTGAAGATTACTTCAAAAACATGCCCAATAATTTAATGGACAAGCGCATCTATGGGGCACTCTTGAATGCTTACGTACGTGCAAAAATGGTGGAAAAGGCTGAGTCTTTATTAGTCGAAATGAAAAAGAAAGACTATGCAAGCCATGCACTTCCATTTAACGTCATGATGACACTCTACATGAACCTTAAAGATCAAGAAAAAGTGGAAGCCATAGTTTCAGAGATGGTGGAAAACAACATCGGTTTAGATTTATATTCATATAATATCTGGATATCTTCTCGTGGGTCTCAAGGATCTATTGAAAAGATGGAAGAATCATTTGAAAAATTGAATCTTGATCCTTCTCTTAATCCAAATTGGACTACTTATAGCACAATGGCGACGTTTTACATCAAGAATGACAAATTTGAAAAAGCTGAAGATTGTCTAAGAAAGATAGAAAGTTTAATTACTGGACGTGATCGAATTCCTTATCATTATCTTTTATCTCATTATGGAAGTATTGGCAAGAAAGAAGAAATTCAAAGAATTTGGGAGACTTACAAATCGGTCTTTCCTTACATACCTAATTTGGGTTATCATGCTGTGATCTCTTCATTCATCCGTATGAATGATATAGAAGAAGCTGAGATTCTTTATGAAGAATGGGTTTCAGTGAAGTCATCTTATGACCCCAGAATTGGAAATCTTTTACTGGGGTGGTATGTTAGAAAAGGTTTTACAGAAAAAACCGAATCTCTTTTTAAAGAAATGTTGGATGTTGGGAAATTGAATTCGAGTACATGGGAGATTGTTGCTGAAAGTCATATCAAAGAAAATAGGGTTTCTGATGCTCTTGATTGCTTAGAAAAAGCGATTTCTAATGAAGGATCGAGCTTCTGGAGACCAAAACCTGTGAATCTTTTGGCAGTGTATAACATTTGTGAAGAGCAAAATGATGAAAAAAGCAAGGAGGCTTTGTTTGAGGTGATGAGAAAATCAGGTGTTCTTGAAGATCCTGTTTATATGTCGTATTTACCCTTTTACAAAGGGGTAAACCCTGGAAATGAACTGGAAATAGCTAAAGAAATTGAGGGTGATGATGATGGAGCTGTTGATATGCTTCTAAATGAATTGCAGGCTACCATTTAAGGATCGATTGTAATCTGGTTTTAGTGAGATAATTTGCTGTTAGTTGAAGATTTATGCAGATTCTAAAGTATGGGGAAAGATGGTAACAGTATTTTTGTCTTATGTTATACAAGATTTTGCAGACTTTGTATGATGTTTGGCAATTTGAGCAAAGTTATAATTATAAACTGTTGTATTGATAAGGTCATGATGGGGTTTGGTTCTTTTAGCCTTATTCTTTCTTCTATGGCTGAACTTATCGAGTCTTGAGCAATGTATAAGTTTTTATGTAGAAGGTACAAGTTGTTATAATAGTATTTCAGTTGTCATTTGTGTGCGACTCTTTATTTTGGTGGGTGCTATCGTCTGTTTTTGAATCCTCATTTCCAATGACATTGTATGAAAATGTTAAAATTTTTGACTCGTTAAAAAATTCCAGGAAACCATGTGTTCCTTTTTTGACTGCCTCTAATCTTCTACTACTTTCGGATTTCCTTCATGTGTTTCCTCTTTATTCTCCCCTGTGACTATGGGAGTTTGCAGCATGTTCTATATCTATGGATCTGTTTTCTTTGAATGAAAATCCGAAGTTTAGAAAGCTTTCATAGTATCAGAGCGGGTTGAAGAAGGGTTCCAACTAAATCCCGGCCCTGCAAGCTCAGTGTGACCAAAACCTCATGGTTAATTGATAAATCCAAATCATTTAGTGTTGATAATTTTAATATCTTAATGTATTAAGTCATAAACTTTCCACTAAAGGCATAAAATTCTCATTTTACCTTTTATGGCTTAAGTGCACAGTCTCTTGCCTTTCTTCTCTTAAACCTACTTATTTCATCTCATAAAAATGACTTACACTTATCTCGGTTAATTTCATGAAGTTACGTCTTCACAGTTCATGAAATTCATCTACATGACCAAATTGCCCTTTTGGAAACTCTCTCAAAGCCAATTCTTTTCTAAATTTCGGGTTCTTACATTTCCTCTACCGCCACCTTTGTTAGCACCACCATCTTCATTAACCACTACATACGCATACATAGGTTTACCTCCAACCATATTAATTACCTTGATCAATTGTCTAATATCACCATCATCAATTATGACACACTAATACTGCAACTCAAAAGGTTAATAAGAAAGACTAATACTTGATTTAACTTCAAAACCAGTCTTACTTTTCACCAAAATACAAAAATTCACTAAATTTGATGGTCTCATAAAATGTCACACCGTAAATGAACATTCTTGGGATATAACTCGTTCGCTGGCCATACGTATGATAGTTGAGAACCAACTAACGTCATCTTTTGTCAGTGAAAACCAAAACGAAATATTCAGTGAAACTCATACTTTGATAGTTGAGAAAAAAAAATAACAGTGTAATTTCATTTTCTAAATATATATTCTCTTTATTTATGTACGAAATAGTAGTCAAATATTCAGAAATCGTAATCAACTTCTATGAAACCTTAGTCAACAAAAAAAATGAAACCTACGTCGTGATGACGATATGTCGATCTACGATATCGTTATTTTTATTTCTTTTGGCACAAAGACCCTCCTATAGAAAATGGAAAAAGATGTAGGATAGTAGATGGTGACGTGTGTTTATTATTTCATCTTTTAATAACTTGTACTTCTTTATAAGTCATTATTTTTGGGTAATTTTTGTATTACTTTAATTTGGATATTAACAAAATTAATTATATTTAAATTAAAATTAAAAAAATCTAATGAGGTGTTGATGGAAAACGTAGATTACAAAACAATGCTCTAAGCGGAAAAACATTTAACAATTAAATGATTAGGGCACATGCAACCTAAAGAGGATCTATGTCTTTCACATAAATGCAACATACTATGAACTATCAAACCACACAACCTTAATGAACTCAGAATTCATAAAGAAAGTTTACATACCTCTTGATTTGTTATAGTAAAAAAATCTAAACCTTTCTTCAAAGCTATTGAAAACGAGCACCAGAAATCTCGTGTCTATGATGGTTCACACCCAACCCTAGCAACTAGAAGACTTGACGAGAGAGGAGAGGGAAGATCAAAATTTCGGCCCATGCTTCTAAGAATGAAGTGTATGAAATAAGGAGGCCATGGAGGTGTTTATATAGCTGAAGGAAACTTGGGGCCAAAGCTACGGTCTTTGGGATAAGGCTTAGATTAATTAATATAATAATCAAGCTGCCTTATCTTCTTATCCAAGCCCCTTGGACGAAAATTCTAGGCTTACCCTAGCTAATTTTCGTCCACTCCATCCCATGGGGTTCTAGAGTCTTCCTGCTTCAACTTTCAATAAATAACTAATCAGTCCCTGCACCTTTAATTAATCCAATTAATCCCAAAATTAACTCTAATTAATTTATGATTAGTTTTTAATTAAATATTACTATTTCTAATTAATATATTATTTTCATAACATATTAATAAATTCATTTATTGCTATTTATTCATATAATAAATCAATAAATCAATCTCTCTCTCTCTCTCTCTCTCTCTCTCTATCTCTATCTCTAAAAGTCATCTTATTCAATTAGGTTTGAGGGCAACTCAAAATGACTTTGCTAATAATTCAAGTATAAACTAATTTAGTTTAAGCGAACTAGGAGTAAGGATTTATTTCTAGACTTAAACTTAGAATGCTAAGCGATGATCGTGATGAGTGTGTCTATTATATTTTAGGTAGTACACCTGAATTGACACAAACACTAGCTTACTTTAGGATTAGATGCCTAAATTGCTTTTATGTGCTAAATGATTTATGTTATAGCCTTATATGCTTTATGATGCTATTGTTTGATCGGAGGTATGGCCTATTGCCGATCGGATCTGGAAATTTTATGTGTTCAGATTTCTAAACGTTTAATTACGATATTAGAACTGTCATATAACTTTTCGAGGTAATAAAGAGGATTACACGTCTAAACCTTCTCTATCTATATTCTCGTCCCGATACGCTGAACGCGTGCTTCTATGAACATAACGTCGTGGTGAAGACTCGTAGCGAATTAAGTAAATGGAGGAAACGAGGAGGCTTACGATAGTGAATGACACTTATCAGAAGATATCATAAGAGAGCTATCTTGCCTTTAGAATGCGTCTAATAAATAATATGTCTAGTATGCGATAAGTACACTTACGATTAGCAGAAAGAAAGAACTTTTGGTATAATCCATGAAGTTATCCCATCGTCTGGCATTTCCACCACCAACCGAGTTGAAGCATAATTGATGATTGAAGATACGCATGGAAGAAGTCCTAATAGAGTCTAGGGAAATTTTTATGATTATTTGGACACATTTGTATGTGTTAAATTGTTTTGTGATTTTAGGAAATAAGAACTTGGGGACTGCGAAGCAATTCTTGGGACAGGTATGAGTAGGTGTGAAAGGTAGTAGATGCATATACTACCGGAAGCACAGGACTCGCACTTGGATCAGGGAAAGTCACAAGGTTACTAAGGCGCTAGTAATTGATTCTGTTTTATTCATGTATGTCATTACCATCGTTTCGGTAAGGACTAAGAAGATGATTGTTATTCCGGCCCTAATGGTCATATCAAATCGAGTCCGACTAAGATAAGTATGTGTTAGATGCCATTTTATGCATCTTATAGGGTAGTTTTTATCATCATTTTAGCATCATATTTTGTACATTTGCATGTCATTTAGATAAATAATGTTCAGCTCATGTCTTTCGTTAGAATTCCCGTACTGCTCATTTTTTATGTCAAATTTTAGATAGTTCGAGTGGAGCAGTGCTTTGGGAGCAGTTGGATGCGTGTTTGGAGCTTAAAATGGAGCTTGGGACTTATGGAGTATGTTGAGGAATGTTTGGAAGATGCTTTGGTCAAGAAACATTGGATTGAATTGATCACACGAAGATAGAATATGCAATCTAAAGTTAAAGGATGTTGCTGGCAGCTTTGACCCCATGTCAGTATTTTGACCATATCTCGAGAACCGTAACTCCGATTGATGCGATTCAAAATGATCTGAAAAGTAGACAAAATTTCGGACGTCATAGGCACAACATGCAATCGCAGGTTGTCTCCTTGCGATCGCAGGTGACCCTTTTGCGATCGCAGGTTTGGTCGCAGGTTGCCTTCGAGGTTCTTTTGTGCCCAAAATTCATCCGGGAGTGAAAACTCAATACCTGCGATCGCAGGTTGGCCAAAAAGTGTCAAAATAGCATCCTACTTCATTAAAAAGGCACCAGACGCGTTTATTTCAAAACCTGCGATCGCAGGTTGTGTCGTTTTTGCTGTTGGACGTATAAATTGACCCTGATAGCATTCCTGTAACCTAAGTTGGAGATTCCAGAGGTACCAGACGACGAAAATACGATTTTGGAGGCGTTTCTTCTCCGATTTCAACGATTTCTGAAGATCTGAAGCCTGTGGATCATCTCCTACGTTTAGTTTAGTAAGATTTAGTAGTAGTTTAATGTTTCTTTTTATTGTTTTAGATCAGATTTTAGCCATGTCTGGCTAAACCCTAGTTTTCAGTTCTGCAAAGACAAGTACTTTTCATGTGATTGATCATTAGATCTGGTTTTTGATTTGTGTTTCTATCTAGATTCTTCAGTTTTGAGCTTAATGAATGTTTGCTTTGAATTCTTGTTAGTCTGTTCACCTAGCTAGGGTTTTATCATTCCAGTTAATCAGTTAATAGAATCCGTAATTGTTCTAATTAATTGGTAATAAGTAACAAGTAATAAATCGGTTCCGTGTTTGGGATTTGACTTTATTATAAACTGTAAAAATCATATCTTTACGCTTCCGAGCTTGTGAGAAGTATTGGGTATTGCTGGGAATTTTACAAAGAACTTAAAGCAATTTTTCTGATTTAATTAAGAGCTTGTTTAATTGAACAGTAAAAAGTTAGGGTTAATTGAAGAGCTTGTTTTGATTAACTAATTTAGGTAAAAGAGAAATTACTAGAGCTTGTTAGTTTTTATCAGTACCAGCTTAGATAGAACGCATCTCTAATAATCAGATCTGGATCAGTTACATGATTAGGAAAGTCGCAGCAGAACTGAAATCGTTTTTTTATATTGATTTTTGTTTAGTTTAATATCACTGCAATTTTAGTTTTTAGTTTAACTCAAATCCCCCTTTTATATTCTGTTTCTTGACTAGATGTGCCTGATGCAAAAAGGCATTGACCATTAGGCTGTGTCCCTGAGGATTCGACCCTGCT